ATTCATCGTAATATGAAGACATGAACTTACTTGTGCAACGGAGTTACTTGGTCAGCAAGCAATTCTTCTGGCGAACGTTGAATTTCTCCGGTAGGATCAAAAAATTCTTTTTTCCTTTTTTCATGCCTTTGATCAAACAATGATTGCCGATGCTGAATAAAGATAATAAAATAAAGATAAGGGAGAATATAAAAATTTCATATATTTTATATTAAATAATGATAATGATAAATTACTAACTTGCTCTGTAATATTATCGACATTCACGACCAAAGTCCTATTTTTGAAATTAACATTTGTTAATTTGTCAATTGCCTGCAACTGTTGCTCTTGCGTCTGAATAACGAAATGAATAAATAAATAAAGTAAAAATATTACGGGCCATACAATAATAATTTTGTTAATGATTCATTACTTTGAAAAAGGCGTAGCAAAAATCCCATTCATGGGACTTTTTAACTCTGACATCACCACAGCTATGCTTAGCTAATAATTCTTTAATCATCTTTGCTGACGCAAATTTGGGTACATTTTTAATCCGTAACCTCCATTGAGTAGAACCTTCTACTTGGGAAGATTCATTAGAATCAACAATATCTTCAGTATCTTTTTTCAATTTTTTTGAAGCTAAGATACTAGCATCTGTTTCTAATTTGTCCAATTTGTCATCATCAGTTGATATAAAATGTTTTTTGTTGTTATCATTGATTTCGCTCATTATGAAGTTGTATGAAATAGGTAATGGAAACTTGGTAAATGATTTTGATCTCAATATAAAAGCTATGCGTGTATATTAAATTAGTCAAATAATTTAGTTAGCAAATAAAAGTTTAGAAGAATTTCCTTACAATCTAAAGTTCGAACTGCAAACATCCGCAAGTTAAAATTTTTACACTCGATGATTACAGTTTGATTTAAAGATGACCAATGTTACACAAGATTATGTGAGTTGCGCGGAAAATTTGCTGGGCCGAACAACTCACTATCAGTGTCTGAAATTCAAATTTTAATTTAGTTGCGGGCCGCAACTAGGGATGGGCAAATTTTTTACATAATATTTATGTATTCTTATGTATTATTATTTAAATTTTTGCTGCAATATGTAA